ATTGTGGGAGCAAGAAGCTATCCCAACCGACTGGAGCCGCTCCGTTATTGTCCTGATGTTCAAACGTAGCTGCCGTTCGGAATGCGGCAACCATAGAGGAATCAGTCTGATCCCCATCGCCTTCAAATTACTTGCCTTCGTCATCCTTTACAGACTGACTGGCGATCGCGAAAGCCAGGATCAGGCGGGGTTACGTCGTGGTCGGGGATGCATCGACCACCTATTCACATTACGTCAGTTGTTGGAGCACCTTCACATATATTGGCGGTCCACCGTAATCGTGTTTCTCGATATCAAACGTGCCCTTGATTCGGCTGATCGATGCGCCCTTTGGGACTGTCATATCAGGAAAGGTGTGCGCGAGAATTCTGTAAATATTATGCCAACGCTTTACGCTCGTAGGTCGACCGGTGGCCGAGTGGTCGGCACGTTTGCTTTCCAACCATAAGGTCACCGGTTCGACTCCGCGTAGGGGTGGGCGTCCTCGCGGTATACTCAGCCCGCGCGCGACTAGTGGTGGTCGCGCGGCAGCGAAGCGTCGTTACGGCGTATAAGCTGACACATTTCATTTCATTTTTCGTAGGTCGGGCAGTGCGACGGCTTACGGCAAGCTGTCGCCGCCCTTCAATATTTCCAGTGGTGTAAGACCAGGATGCATGTTGTCACGTTTCCACTACAACTTCGCTATTGACGAAGTCATGGAGATTGTGTGTACAGGACACTATTTAGAAAGAGTGGAGCTACTCCCAGGTAAACGACCTGACTTGGAACATGCTGACTACATTGCCCTAATCTGTGACAGTTCCCAAACGTTCCATGCGGCACCGGACAGATTAGCACTGGCATTCACCCGTTTCAGGTTATGCTTTGCACCCTGGAAGTGCAAAGCTTTCCTCCAAGATTGACAGGGACCGTCTCCTTCGCTGACCATTAATGGGGACCAGCTAGAAGTCGTTCAGAAGTTCAACTACCTAGTTAGTTGTATCAGCGTCTTTGGAATTGAAGACGAGGTCAAAATCCATATAGTAAAAGCACGAGGCGCTTTTGCCTACCTTCGCCACCTATGGCGCAGCGCGACATCACACTCTCCCTGAAGGGTTGAGTGTACAATGCAGCGGTACCTTCGACCCTATTGTACGATTGTAAAACCTGGCCCATTAGATCAGCAAACATATGCAGGCCAGTTAGGTTCGACCACCGGTGCCTTTGCAGTTTGGCTCATATCTAGTGGGAACACCGTGTGAGCACTGAGCGTGTTAGACGCCTTATTTATGGCGCAGAAAGAAGATGCAAACCGCTCAGCACCATTCTTTCACTCTCCAGCCTCCAATGGTTGGGCCACGTGTTTACGCATGCCAGCCACCCGGCTCCCGCAAAGTGCGTTGTTTGCGCGCCTGGAATGTGGATGGAAAAAGAGGACGGTGGCCAAGAGATGACTTGGTCTAGAGGGATGAAAGTCCTTACTTCGAAATTGGCCTCGGTTGGAGCCTCTCGGCTCCCTGGTTGGGAACCGAAGGACGATGAACACGTTTGGCTGGATACGCTTGTTGACATGGCTAGGAGCCGACCTCAGTGGTGTTCCTTCTGTGAGTTTATTTGTCCCTCCTCCTTCCGCTTAGCCTCTCTCTTCAACCACGATCTCAATGATTAGGGATAAAATGACTACTTTGCGGCACAAAAGCCGGCTGTTGGCTCTCCGGAACGATGTCCATCCGTTATTGGCGACTCAGCCGGCGTATCTCTGTTTCATGTACTTTATTTTGTATTGTGGCACAATAGCTGAGGTGTTTTCCACCTGCAGCTTATCTGTACAATGATGATGACCGTATATTCACTGGCCAGATTACATCAGCTCTGAATACTCTGTATTAGATTTTCTATCAAACCTTGTTGACAACTTTCCTGCGCCATTCTGAAGTTGCATAAGGCACGATGTGGTCGTTCTAGCGCTGATTTTTATGTCAGCTCTGTCACTTCTTGACGCGCAACACATGAATGTGGGATTAGCACGAACGTACATTCGTTATCCTTGGGTTGCGGTTTCAAATCTTCCATTTTCGCTCCTTCTGCTTCTATTCTTTTGACTTCTCATCTTTTTGCTTTTAATACCTCATTTTGCGCTTCCACTTAAAACGAGTAACCAACAATGTCTGCTGAAGTGATCGTTAGATCACCCTGAGTGATCGTTTTTTACGGCGTTACCCTTAGCTATGCTGTGAGTTCATTTTGCCCAGTCGAAAGTATGGTCAACACATCGGAAATAGACTCCCAAATCTTAATGCGACGCAAAGTACCTCTCTTCATGACCTAATTTTGTCTCACATGTTTCTCACCGGGAGAACCAGGAGCACAACAAATAGTTGCTAAGCGAAAGCATATCGGTTTCTCATAGGGACTGAAAGTACGTTTTGGGTGAGAATTAATATCAAGTGCACGCCATACTATTGGTTGCCGTACTTAACGTCTTACGCCATTTACAGTATTTCGTATTCCTTTACGGGTGATCAAAAGCATGCCTAAATGGGACGTCTTGTTGTGGAACTGTGCGGATGGGGTTAAAATTATAAGTAACTTATTCGTCTTTCTGCTTTCTCATAGCTTTTATTCTTACTTTACATTACCACTGCTAGCGCAGGTCACATGCATTGATTATTTGATTGTGAAGTTATTTGTGTTTTCATTTGGCTATCCTCGTTTCATATTGATTCCACATACTTTGTCGTGGTTCCACGACGCACTTAAGAATGGGTATCCTTGGAAATGTGCTGTTTCCGTCCTAGTTTAATTTGATCTGCTGAAATCGCACTTTATTACAGATATCCCATTGCAAGACCATCAGTTGGTTTCTTCAACCACATGTTGACAACAGTCTGTCCAGCTATAGTTGCTGTAAGTAGCATAAAGTATGAAGTCGTATCTGCCCCGGATGCAACCACCAACTCTCTTGAAAGACTGGGGTAACTTAGTCATTCCTTTCGAACTTAACCATCGTTTTTAGATTCTACCTCGCCTCCGGTGGAAAGTTTTACCCTTGAGGAAGCCCTATGTGACGGGATGTTGCAGGCAAGCAAGTCAACACACGTTGCTTTTACTGTTCTACGTCGGTATCAGAAATTGCCTACAGATGCACGCACTCTAATGCACAATTCAGAATATCGGCTGAAGATAATCAGCGAAGCTGTCCATTTCCTTTCCCAGTAGACGCGATGGAGACGATGGTGCTTCCTAACAAAAAGCTTGATATACCTGACTTCATCTCAAAACGGTAGTACATTATTTTGTGTAATACTTGTGTTTGTTAGCGTTTATAGCTTCGGTTGATGGGAAATATGTTTCGACATGTCTTTCACCAGCGGTTCTATAATCTGAATTGGAGGGTGTGAATAGTAAGTATCGCCTAGTCGGTATGCCCTTCGTTCCTTTCTATATCAATAAACTGTATGCATATGTAATAATCTCACTCACACATTTCGTTTCGCGCTACAGGTTTGCTGGGTGCGAAGAGTCCGACGTTGGATCCAACGAGTGAAAGCGCGATGATGGTGCACCAAAGGAAGAAACCACTGTATTATCAGTCAATGTTTAATATAACTTATCTTAAAAGCATGTATCTTCTGCGAGTGAGTACAATACTTCGCCAAACGCGTCGGCATTAAGCAAGAGGAAAGGGGTTGGAGTGCGTTAACGAAGGTGGAATTTGGGAAAACGTCTAAGGGCAAGTGGAGTAATTATGTCATCTTTTTCTAGGTGAACGAAAATTGTCTTGCTGAGCACATTTTCGGACCCGTTTTCGTCGCCCATCGGACGCGCTTCGGTCACATTTCTGGCACCTTTCGGTCATTCGTGCTAACAGTAAGGCCGGTTGCTCTTTGCCTTCACATTGGAAGAAGGCAATCATCTGTCTCGTATTCAAAAAGTGGGGCAACAACGCAGTAGCTTGTAAGAGATGCCGTCGAAACCCACTTGATGACTTTCGCTTTGCTCTGTACGGCTTTTTGCAAGGGCTACGCTTGTCTGATTAACTTATTTTGTACTCGAGAATTCTGGGCCGAAGCGATAGAGCAGGTTTAATTGGTTGCTGTTTTGTTCATTCACTTAAAGAGAGTATACGACACCGTCCAACATTCCCGTGTTTTATCTCAACTGTAGTCACATAGCGTCTCCGGGTGTTGTGTTGGAGCCCCGCGACTTTTTCTACCCACTAACGGTAGTAAGAGCACGAACGACCGGTTAGAAAAATAATGTTCACGCCAAACCGGCCACCAAGCGTCTGTGTGTGCAACTCAGTCAGATGATTCACATTAGGGCACATACACAGGCTATGCGGAAAGGGTGACGATCGATCAATCATAGCTAGTCATTCCAGGGGCGAAAGATCGTTACGGCGTCACACGAACGAGCGAAATGTACAGATTAAGGGAAAAACCATTAAGCACAAGATTCATTGTCAACCTAAGCGAGTCACAAATGTGAGGAAACAGAAAACGTGTGTGGGGAACCGTACAAGAGGACGGTACGAATAAGAGTGAATGGGGCAAGCTCACAAAACAACGGGAGTGGTGAAATTTTCTTACTACCGCTATAACATCGGGTGTACTCTTTGTTGGATAATGGCACTCACAGAGGTCAAGGGTATGTGCGTTCGAGTCAATGTTTCTGACAATCTGTCCCAAGCCGCGTTCCACAGGAGTTCGTCTTAGGTTTAATGTCGCACAGTCCGTATATAAACGACCTACCTGAGAACCTAGGTATACCGTCTCTAATGTTTGCAGACAACTTTAAACTCTTGGGTGTCAGTACCAAACCTACCTTAACCGACTAGTTTCTTCGACTTTCTCATGCTTTTTTTAGCTTTTTTCATAACATTATTCCGTTGCTGTTCTCTTGTTTTCTTAGCTAACAATTCACACTTTCTTACTTCGCATTAACCGGCCCGGCATGGACTGCTGGGCAGCAAATGTGGGTGGTACCTGGTTGGTCAAGGTGTGATGCAGTTTTTGTTTTAAGCTTATCAAAATCTCAAGCCGTTATCACTTTCTGATCCAACAATATGTAGAAAGAGTGTTTACGGATTTATACTATCTTTCCGGTCCCAATAAAACTTGAACTTTATCAGTAACCCAGAGGACCCGCGAGTCTTAGAGCGTTCGCCTTATAGGCCCTATGATTAGTCCGTTTCGTGGCAACTGCCGATTAATCTAAGTACTCGACTGATGGTCCTTGTGCGAGTTACTTTTTGGGCAGAAACGAAGTGCCGTCTGTGACCGAGCAGGTGGACTTGCGAGTCATGCTGTAATCGCATTTCAAGTACAGTGAGAACTGGGCAAAAGCTGTCTGCAAGGGATTTACGATGTCGTGGTTGGTTCGCCAGTCATTCGGAACCATTACAATTGGAATGTTTGTTAGACTATATACAACTCTTATCTGGAATACTGCGTACAAGCTTGTCCTCCCCGCTTAATTCTGCACAGGATGGCAGTGGAGCGGGTCCTGAGGGTTCTTGCTAAGATAGTGCATAGGCTAATACGTATATCCTATCCCGAGAGACTGCTTAGATTAGGCATTTCTTGCCGCACTATAGACGGCATAGGGTAGACCTTATCCTCACCTCTCGCGTTTCAACAATTCAACTTTTCCCGGATTTATATTGTCTTTTCACCTAGTGAGATTACAAGCCCTTCATGGTCATCCAAGGAAGCTACACAACTGTCGATCTGATCGAGTTTGGGCTAACAGTCGGTTGCCGCTTAGGGTAATTGCTGGTTGGAGTGCCCTGCTCTAAAACATTTTGTTGGCACTCACGGTAAGTGTTCGAGCACCGGTTGGATGCTCTTGGTTTGCAGCTACAAACGTCCTTCATGTTTTAGCCTTTATTACAAATTTCCTGCGGATTGTATCCTTTGCGGTTTTCAATGCTTAGATTATGTCATTTGATATTTTTCCTTCATTTTCCTTTTGCCTCCTACTATTACATTTTGTTTCTAGTTCACCTAACTGGTACAGTGGGAACCAATACTGCAGGACCTGTGGACGTTGTTCGGTTGCTCCTTATGTACTGTGCACAGCTTAGCAGTATTCTTAGCGCCCGTTTGCGAATGATTGCGGTCACGTGGCAGCAAAGCGCCGATTCGGCGCATCGATGGGGTGTTGATGCTTTCCACTATATTTTCAGTCCAAAGCTTCTTTTTTAGAGGTGGTCGGTAGCGATACCACGGATGATGGTGCTTGGGAACCCTATTCGAATATACATACGATAGCTAATGTCATGAGCAAATGCTTTCAACGAAATCAGACGTAGTCTTCAAGTCGAAGGAGACCACTGCGATAAGATGCTTGTATGATGACCTTAAAGAACGATCAAGAGTAAAATGTGATCCAAAACAATCCTTTCCATGGTGCAAGCCAATGTACCTTTAATTCGTCCTTTACCATAGTCATTTCAGCTTCGCCGAATGATGTAGGTGACTAATTTGCAAGTGTTTGGAATCAGACTGATACCGCGAAGATTTTCACTAGACTTCCCTTAGTCGGGATGTCGGCGGACAACCGCCGATCAGAAAGCACTTCTTCTCTTCACCGAAAGTGTCAGATGGTGGTAGTTACCAATGTTTCACTGCTGTCCTTCTGCAACGATGGTGGTACGTCACCTGCGCCATGCGCTTTGTTTGCTTCATCAGCGTTATGTCGGATTTCGCTGGCGGTGGAACTTCTTACGTCACTTCCCCAAATGGGTTCATGTGAGCCAACTGGGAATTCTGCTTCTCGGAGCCGACATCATTGCTGAGGAGGTAAATAGAAGACAAATCGGCTTTTGCTCTTTCACCAACTGTTTCCGTCTCGTGGATCTTTCTAGGACCTGTGCATCGAATAAGTTAGTTGAGTACTTGGATAATACGTGACGTCCAGTGATCGATTCAAAACTTGATTGTCCTGTTCATGGTATCAGCAGTACGCCGATACCGCGTACCGGCGCTTCGCTACCGCTCAACCACCAACAGTCGCGCATGGGCTAAGGATACTGCGTGGGTCGCTTCGTCCTTTTCGCAGGCTCGATCACGCGCTTTCGGATTACAAGGCAAGCTTGTGATCCTTTAGGCTACATGTCGGCTGTTCATGCAAACGTACTTAGATTGTGTCGGCCTATTTCTGAGCCTGTTTCTTGCGATAAAATGCGGCCACTTACACCCACCCGTTTTGGTGGCCACGCCGCAATAAATGCTACTCAGGCGGATTCATTCCCACACACTTGTTTTATAAACATTTACTATCACTCATCTACAGTTCCTATTCAGCATGGCTCTGGATCACCGGGTATGTGACGCACGGACCCAGTTCCTCATTGAGGTGGCGTAATGGCAATTTCCAAACTCGTTCGTCGTCTTTTCGTCCGCAGGTCCTGCATGTCTCTTGGTGTGCACGCACATTTCACAACGACTCATCAGTTCGACGACTCAGCGAAACTACCTAGGCGATTGTGAGTCCCATTTTGCTGCCATTGTATTCTACGTTTTTGTGTCGGTTGCTCCGCACTTTCTACTCGGTTCCGGTGTATTCTTATCCATCACCTCATGTAGTCACTATCCGGCTCTTGTTTTGTGCCTAGCCGATGTAGTGTAACTCGATTGTCTACACTCTCCTTTTCAGTTTATTAGATCTACTCTACCTTCAATTCTTGCCACAGCTTACTACACACTATCTTCGTTCCATATCTTACTATCCGACCCGCACATATGGATTGCAAAAAATCGGACGAAGAATGGAAGCAAATCCTAGATCCATTGCAGTACCGAGTAACGAGAGAAAAGGCAACAGAAGAGGTAGGATTTGCGGTTAGACTAACGGTCCTTCGCAGCCATTTACTGGTTCTCTTTATCGTAACGCGGATTCTGGGGACTACCTCTGTGTTTGCTGTAAAGCAAAATTATTCGAGTAAGTTCTATTTTTATTCAAGCAAGTGATTAGCACACTACTTAAAGGGTTACCAGGTTAGTTAAATCCGTCCTCCATGGGCGATACCTACGAGTCAACACGTAATGTTAACATTGTGCGGTGGTTTACTTACCTTTGTGAGTTACTAAGGTAGGCAGGGTGGCGCTTTGCTAGTGCGAACATGGACACTCATGCAAAACAACGGGCCGGTTAATGAGTAGTAGTGGAGTTATTGGATTTTGTCAAGCTTCGTCGCAACTATACCCAGATAGACAGCCACCATACTTCCAAGGAAGCGCTATACGTCCATTTGGTCCTATTGGGACTCGTCAGTGGCGCGCATCCGCCGAATCTTACCGGATTCCAACTCACGATCTTACTCTTATGAACCTGCGACTTATGCTAGGGAGCCATGGGTGACGGCAGCGGACCGCCATGACTGGTATTTTACTGCGGTATAGCACGGCTCATCCTCCACGGTGGCCATAGTGCGCGATGTCACATGTTGAATACCAAGTCAAGCGGATTCACCAAATTCATCTTTCCAAGTCAACATTGTTCACTCTGGCCATCCGAGGCAAGGTATCAATTGATGGCCCTATGCTGCACTTGCATCTCGGTTAAACACACATGCCAGCATATTGTCCGAATGCTATTGCCTGATAGCGTTAGACCATTCAAGGCGTCGTCGACGCTATTTTCATGACTATGAGATCACAGTTTCTTGCTCTAAGAATGCAAAGTGCTGTAATACGGATGAAAGGGATTGCGTTAAGGATGCATTCAATTGCTAAATGCTATAGATGACGTATGATTACATGACCCGCGCAAGTCCCAACCAACCAGCAAGAGAAACGACAGAAGGCGGGGTGGACCCTTGAGAGTTCCTGTACAACTCACAAAAGCCTAACACAGTTGACACAGCAGTTCGTCTTGCGGAAGGAAAAAATCACCACGTCGGAGCGTGGTTTACAAAAGACCATTGTTCACTTTGTCACGTCTGTGCACTGTTTTGGTTTAGCTGGAAGTTGCTGCGTTGTGGGTGGGAAATTGACTCCACTTGGCGCAGCCCGCTTATTGGAGGTCGCCGCGCAGTCACATATTTTTGTGGGATCACTTGACGTTTCCGCAACTGTATCCTATGTCCACTTGCGACTGGTGGCGGTTGCGCGGCGGCGAAACGTCAGTCCTGCGTACCGGCGTACTGCTGACACCTTGGAGCGTTGAACCGAGCACTTTGAAAAACAATGTTTTCTTAACTCGTGTATTATGCCCATTTAGACATAAGAAGGAGACTTGCGAAGAGATATCTCTTTTCGATAATTCGCGTCATGCACTTATATTTATGAAGAAGATTAAGCAAACGGGGAAGCTGATTAGAGCTCTAGTGATAGTGGTTAGGCGGCAATTTAAATAGGGTCATTGAAGCCAATCAATAGTTATGCCAATGAAGTCAGGTGGTAGAAGTTACGACACCGCGTCTCGCGCATACAAATAGACAAAGCGAAAGCAAAAACGCAGTGGCTGATAAGGAAAACAACTCACAGTTGGGCCGGGGGTTTTGTCATATGTGGACAGAATCTTTATGACAGCCAAGGCAAACTGAGAGCTTGTATGAGCGTCCTTTGCTTGCATAATTCAGGTTGTAATAGCCTAATTGCCATTGCTTCGTCAGTGGGCAGCAAGCGGTTCCTTAGTCCTTTGGGAACGCTTCTCGACACAGTGTAGACCACCTTGAATCCGTCTTCTGTCCCAATCTGACGCCCAGTAGTAATCAGATGCTTTTCGGGTATTGATCACCCTACTCCCTGAATCGTCCCCTCAGATCTGCTCCAACGCTCGGATGTCGAATGTGAGGTCAGATTGTTGTATTTGAATAAGACAGGATCGGATAGATTCGTTCCAGCCCTTTACAAATTCGCAGGACCAGCTCTCATGAACGGGGTAGGGACAGGAAACTATCCCAACAGACTGAAGCCGCTGAGTTATAGTCCCAAATTTTAGCGGAGGCTCACCTTTGGAATGCTGCAAGTATAGAACAATCATTTTCATCCTAAGCACGTCTAGATTACTTGGGTCTGTTATTCTCCACTATCTGGTTCACACCCGTGAAAGCCAGATTCGCAAGCAGCAAACTGAGTTTCATCCAAACTGAGGGTTATTGACTGCAACCTTGCTTTATGTCTTGTCGAAGCACTTCCACATTTATTGGCGACCCACTGCAGTCATGTTCCTAGATTTTAAAGATGCCTTCGATTCGGTGGCTCGATGTGCGCTTTGGCACCGTCTGTTAAGTTGTGCCCCATAAATATATAAGGATTACCAGGGCGCTATATGCGTATAGTTCGAACAGTTGGTTCACGACAAGCTGTCACCGCCCTTTAAGCTCTCCAGCAGTTTGAGATAGGGATGTTCGCCATTCCTTTTTAATTTCACCATCGACGAAGTCATGGAAGCTGCATTCAATGTACACGACATATAGAGTTTGGAGCTGCTTACTGATGAGCGACTTTTTAACAGTATATACCGACGACATTGTGACTACTACTAAGTCTGCCAGGCAGCACTGGACTAGTTAGCAATGGCTGTCAGTTGTTACAAGCTATGCTTTTCGCTTTCGAAATACAAAGTCCTTATGCAACGTTGGCAGGGGCCTCTTCCTGTGCTATCCATTGGTGGATATCAGCTAGAAGTGGTCCAAAAATTCAGGCATCTAGGCAGATATATTAGCACATGTGGAATATAACATGTGGTCACCAACCGTATAGCAAACATTCGGGGTGCTTTTGCCAATCTCCGACACCTGTGGTGGCGGTGTGACATCACTATCACCCTGAAGGGCAGGGTTTCCGATGCAGTCGTCCGTTCAAAGCTCCTGTGCGGATGCGAAAGCTGCTCCATTAAGTAGACAGACATCAAGAGGCTAGATACTTTGTCGTAAGCAGACGATATTGCCCTCATCTGTGACAGCTCCTAGACGTGCTAAGCTGCACTGTACCGATTAGCACTGGCTGTCAGCCGTTTCGGGCTTCGCTTTGCACTATCGAAGTGCAAAACTTTCCTCCAAGATTGGCAGGGATCGCCTCCTGCACTGACCCTTGGTGGGGGTCAGCTAGAAGTCGTTCGGAAATTCAACTATCTGGGAAGTTGTATCAGTGCCCTTGGGACCGAAGATAAGATCACGAACCGTATAGCAAAAGCTCGAGATGCTTTTGCTAGTTTTCGCCACTTATTGCGGCGGCGCGACCTCACTCTTCCTGAAGGGTAGAGTGTACATTGCAGCGGTACGTTCGACCCTACTGTACGGTTGCGAAACCTGGCCCCTTAGATCAGCGGACATAAAGAGACTAGTTACGTTCGACCATCGGTGCCTTCGCAGTTTGGCTCACATCTGGTGGAAACACCGCATGAGTAACGAGCCTGTTTGACGCTTTGTTTACGGCACAGGAGAAGAAACTGAACCGCTCAGCACCATTCTTTCACGCTCCAGGCTCCGATGGCTGGGCCACGTGTTACGCATGCCAGCCAGCCGGATCCCGCAAAGTGCGTTGTTTGCTCGCCAGGGGTGTGGATGAAAGAGAATAGGTGGCCAAGAAATGACTTGGTCGAGAGGAATGAAGCCCCTCACTTCGGAGCTAGCCTCGATTGGGGCTTCACGGCTCCCTGGTTGGGAACCGAAGGACGATGAACACGTTTGGCTAGATACACTTACTGACATGGCTAGGAGCCGACCTCAGTGGCGTTCCTTCTGTGAGTTTATTTGTCCCTCCACCTTCCGCCTAGGCTCCCCCCTCCAACGACGATGTCAGTTTGTAGCATAATATAATTTTACGTAATAAATTTTTGCTACCCAGTATCAGGCTGTTAGCTTTCCGGAACAGTGCCCATTCGTTTCTGGTAGCTCAGTTGGCATGCAACTGCTGCATTTTTCTTTTTTTCTTTTATATATTGCGTCACAGGAGCTGAGGCATTTTACACATCTAGCTTACATATATATACATATATATATATATATATATGTTTACTAGGCCACAGTGAGCGCCGTCCTACTCTATTGGAGTAAGACTTGACCCCTTCGGTCTGAAGCTCTGAGGTGCCTTCATGTCTCTGACCATCGCTGTCTGCTTAGTATTACTGATGTCAGGTGGCATCGGCGTGTCCGCAACAATGATGTGCGTAGGCGAGTGCTATTAAAAAATTCCAAAGCTGGTTCCTTAGAACGATGAGTAGCACTGAATAGGTTGCGTTGGCTTGGGCACGTGCTACGTATGCCCGGTCACCGCTTGTCGAGAATGACCTTGTTTTGTCTGCCAGGTCTAGGGTGTCGCAAGCTTCGAGGTAGACAGAAGTTGATTTGACAACGGGAAATGAAGTCACTGACGACCAAACTTGGTGCCGTCGGTCCGTCTCGCCTTCCGGGCTGGAGTCCACGTGACTTGCGTTTTGCTTGACTGGTGGATATGACTCGCAGTCGGTACCAGTGGCGCGTCTGTTGTCGTCTCCTAGTCGAACTGTCTGTTTAACGTGTGTTTTCTGCTGAGTTATCTGCGGGCTAATGACTGATTATGACGCGGGGCAGTGCAAGCCGCAAGGAAGCTGTCTTGCTGATGCCGCGTTATATTTGAACGATAGCCAGCTGTTTATGCTGGCATGTTTTTGACAAGGTGTACTCGTCTTGACCCTGAATGTTTGCGTAGGGCGTTAGGGTTTTCCGAAAAAGTCCCCCTTCTCTCTTTCCTAATCTTCATCATTCCGTAGTTCGTTATGGCTGTATGGCAGCGAAACTTCTGTTCATGTGGCTGGTGTACTGCTGCTGCTGATGATGACGCATTATAAATAAATAAATTTTTATTCTCGGATGTCTGCAGTCTGTGCAAGCACCGTCTGAACTGCCATCGAGCAGCATCTGCACTGTCAGCGAGCAGCACCATCAGCGGTTCCAACCTCGGTCCATTCACTACCTTTAATGAGTCAAAGAATTCCTTGTGTTGGCGGCGTTC